ATGGGAGAAACCACCCCCCAAGTAAACAGTGCCACCCCGGGAGTCAGAAGACCCGGGGCGGCTCCAGAAAGCTTGCAGGGGTGAGATGGGGGCTTCCAAGTCCTGAGCTTGGGTGTGACAGCGTGTGGACGGACGTGGGCAGTGTGAGAGGTGGGGCCAGACTCATGTGAGAGAGGCAGGGTCTGGGCCTTAATTTCCCCAGATAAATGTTCACTCCTGAGGGGTGTCAGGTTCCTCTCTGTAGCCCCCTCTCCTGGCCCAGTTGACCTGTGTGCTGCCCACTGGCCTGTGGCCTCCACGAGACCAGGGACTGTGTCCAAGGCACACCTGCCCAGCACAGTGCAGCGCAGGAAATAACTATCGAACAAGCCAGCAGCTGACTTTGGATGCCAGGACTCCACACGCAGAGGTTCTGTGAAATGTCACCGAGAGTGAACATGTGGTCACAGCCACAGAACGGTTTGCAGAGCACCGTCACACCACTGTTTTGTCTGGACCCTGCCAGAACTACGTGGTAGCTGTCAGCATCTCCAGGCCGCACATCAGGAAGCAGACTGCAAGGAGCAAAAGGACTTACCCAAGCTCACACGGCCGGCACAGGGAGTCCTGTTTTTCTGACTCCATAGCTCACGTTGCAGCCACTACACTGTGATTGAGACTATCTTTCAAGGACCTTGCCCAGTCCTAGGTGGTGTGAGCAGGCAGTGCCCACTCAAAAGCTGGCACTTGCCGCGGCTACTCCCAGCATCCCGCCCTCTGCCCCACTGCCCTGTGTCGGAACCCTGGCCAGGCTGCACACAGCGGTCCCGGGGAGCGTCTTGCCTCCCCTGCAGGGCCTGGTCCAGAGCAGGAACTGCCCTGGGGAAAGACCAAAAGCTGGGCCTTTTACTTTGGGATTTCCTCTCAAACTTGAGAGCCCCTGCCAGCCCTGTGGCCTTTGCCAGCCCAGCCCTGTGGGGTGAGGCAGTTCTACCCCTGGCTGGATGAGGAAGTCAGGGCACCAGGCATGCAGACAGCCACCTATCCTGGCACCGGCTCTGGCCCCTGACTGGGAGCCACCTTGAGGGCCCCCTGCCACAGCCTGGCATGTCACAGCTCAAGTGCTGGCTCCCCCCAGTAGCCGTAGGGTGTGAACCCATCACCAGCCTCACAGGTGTACAGCCAGGTAGTGGCTCAGGACCCCTCCCTTAGAAGGGCCCATGATTGATTTCACATCCTGCAGTCTCTGTCTCGAAATTCTTAGCAATTTTCGGACGAAAGCACTTCATTTTTATTTTGCACTGGGTCCCACAAATGATGTAGTCTGTCTTGCTGGACAGGTTGCTTCTCTGAGCCTCAGTGCCCTGTCTACAAAAGCACCTCCCTCGGGCTGCTGTGAGCCTGTCACAGTTAGTGGATGAGAGGGCGCTTTGTCGACTGTGAAGGGCCGTGCTTCGGGAGGTGTCGTTCCTGTTGCTTCTCCAGGTGGCAGGGAAAGCCCTTAGAAAGAGCCCAGGTGGCCCTCATCAGAGGCTGGGAACTGAGAGAGACCCGAGGGCTCACAGGGCCCATGGGGGCTTCTTTCTTTAGATCCCCAGGACAAGCGCTCTGAGGGCGAGCCTTGCCCTCCTCCCTGGGTCACCAGGCTTGAGCCTGCCCCAAGTGTGTTGCTGGCTGGGGTGTGGCTCACAGCCCCCAGCTCACATTTGCTGCTTGCACTTGGGCTGGTCCCGCAGTTAAGACCACCTGCTGTAGGGAGAAGACTGGCTGTTTTCTTAATCTCTGTGATAGCAGTGGCCTAATACCAGGTCTGGGTGGCCTCTAGTCTTGGGACAGAGGTTAGACTGCTTTTGAGACACTCAGAGATGGGGTCCTGGTTCCGTGCACTAGGCCGATTGTTACTGAAGGCAAGGGGCCCTGGGTAGCACCAGGGAGCCTCTACAAACTACCAGGGACCAGGTACTCAGTCCCGCCCAGGTCCTGTATGGTAGACTTCAGTCCCCATCCGCACTTCAGTCCAAAGGACCTAGGCAGATTTCATTGTTGTGCTGTCCATGTGCATTGCATTTTGTAGTGGACGTCTGTTAGCCTCAGGACAGTACAGCTGAGGTGGGCATGGCAGAAACTATTGTCCCTGTGTTGTAGGGGAGGGATGGAGCCAGGTGAGAGGCGGCAGCCTCCCTGAGGCCCTGCAGCGGGAGGAGGTGGGGACAGGTAGCCAGGGCCTGGCACAGGGAGTCCTGGGCGACGTTGGCTCTGGGCATTATCACATGAGCCCGATGAGGGCACGTTTCTCTGGCTACCCCAAGTGAGGCAGTGGTCGGAAGGAGGGACCATTGGGAGGCCATGACAGTCATAAGACTGTGGTGGCCTGGCCCAGGTGGCAGCAGTAAGAGCAGGGACTGGAGTTGAGGGACGTTAAGGAAGCAGCAAGCCCAGCCCCAGGAGAGGCGAAGGTGGGGGTGGCCTTCTGGGGCAGACTTGGGGAGGGGCTGCTGAAGAGGAAGAGTGGCTGGGGGGCTTGTAGGGAGCTGTCAGGTGGGCCTCTTTCCTCAAGGGCCCAGGGGGTCAGAGGCTGAGCAGGCGCCACCAGCCCCACCATAGTCTGCATGGCCTAGGCAGAGTCCCTCACGCTCTGCCCCGCACTCAGGGCGGTGGAGGGCACTGGAGCCGCTTAGGTGGGGGCATGAGACGTGGGAGGCAGAGCAGGGCCTGGCATGTGGCGACGGCCACAAGGAGACTGGGTGGGCCGTTGGCACCCGAGAAGGGCCCCAGGACCCTTCACTCAGAGCCATGGGCTGGGCAAGGCAGGGAGACTAAACTGCCTGGTACAGGAGAGAGTGTCCTGCAGTGGGCGCCCACGCCAGCTGTACCCCAGCCCCCTCAGCCTCAGCCTGCCCAGCGGGCAGGGGGACAGCACATTTCCAAGGCCCTCTTGGCTCTGGAAGGTGGAGAGTCCTGGTCCCATTAGGGGCTAGAACGGGAAATGGAAGGACCTGCAGGATCCCTGAAGCCTGCATGGCCAGGTCCACTCCTCAGGGACATGGCCCCAGCCCTGCACCATACCCAACCTGCACCTCCGCACGCAGTCCCAGTGCCCATCCCAAGCTCTCAGCCCCACCCCACACCTGAGCCTTAATTCCCCCACCTAAGAAACAAGCAGCCCTCTGCCCCTCTACAGAGAGGGCTCTCCCATGGAAAAGGCCCGTCGGTGGGGGGTGGGACGCGTGGCTCCCTGATTTGGGGAGAGAGGCAGGATTTCGCTCTCTGGCTGTCAGCCCAGGAGAGGAAACTAGCATTTGTTGAGCAACTGCTATGTGCTGGTACCCAGGCCAGGTGCTTCTAAGTGGGGAGTTTGCCCCTCACCTCTGCCCTGGGGGGTGTTGAGGTCCAGCCCCAAGGGGGGCCTGCCTGGTCACCCCGTGAGGGACAGAACCAGGATTCATATCCTGCCCTGCACACCTCCACTGCCCCGGTAGCTGGTCCTGTGGGAAGACGCAAGGGCGCAAAAAGGCCGAGTGCCAGTCAGAGTTTGGCCCAGGTGGGCACAGAAGCCACTGCATAAGTGCAAAGAAGGGTGGCACCTTCCCTCTGTCTGGGGCTTCGGGGGGCTCCCTGTGGAGGTGGTCTTTGAGCTGGGCCTTGAAGGATGAACGGGCAGGAGGCCTCCGAGCCCTGGCCCGGCATGCTGCAAAAGCAAGACTGGGTCACAGGATTTGTGGAGACACTAAAAGGCAGGCCAGGAGGAGTGGCGGGTCTCCAGCTCACCCTGGGACAGTGAAGACACTGGTCATGAGGAGGAGGACGGGTGGCCCTCCACACCAAGCAGCTCCTGTGGCCCTGCAGAACCACAGATGCACACTCACGCGCACATACACACGGGAATGTCATGTTTCTTTCTTTCCCTGCACACCTCCTCCAATATGAGGTTCAAAGGAAAGAACCGTGAATTCGATTTAATTAGTAGCAGCAACTCCTGGCAGCTGAGAGTATGGATTCGTTTATTCACTTCTACGTTGGTCCCCAGACTCCTCCCAGAGAGAACTGGAGGCAGCCACAGGACAAGGCCACTAACAGAGTACACGGATTAGGGGAGCCTTCAGGGAAGGCCAGGACCAGGCATCTGGGGGAGCCAAGGTGAGGCCAGGCAGGGGAGTTGAGGTCACAGAAGATGGGCGCCCGTTGGCTCTCCACCTTCTAGCAGCAAAGAGGAGAGGGAAGCCCACTCAGGCGCAGTTTCCACAAGATAAAAGCCTGCCAGATGTGCAGGAAGAAGCCCAGGTGGCAAGGATCAGAGGTGTGGGACAGCGGCTCCTCTGGGGCCACACCACAGCCCTGTGAGCCAGCTCTGCCAGCCCCGTCCCCCGGCCTGGGGAGGATCACTCTCACCCCAGGACGGCTGCGGTGACCTCAGTTATGCCCCCAGCCACTCTAGCCCCTTTGAATTCTGCAAAAGGAAAAAAAGCCCTAGACAAGCTTCAAGTGGACAAAAAACAGATGCCTTCGGCTTATTGTTCAGTGAGAACAGATGTTGGGCTAAGAGCCTCATCAAGATGATGGATGGTGTGCGGCCCTGAGAACCTCAGTCGTGACTCAACGACCAGGGCCACAAGCCCCAGTTGTCTCCTGGTAACAGCAGCCTGGACCTGCAGTCTGAGTCTAGGTATGGCGAAGGTTGAGGCACCTGGCCGTGGGCAAGGAAATACCAACCAGGCCCATCTCAGCACCCGCTGACTGTTGGCAGGAGCCTTTATGCAAGCACAGCCCTGTGCGGTCGGCCCAGCCCTCAGCACGTCGGGTCTTCACCAGCAACCCCACGGGCAGGGTGTCACTCTCCCATTTCACAGATGGAAGCCCGAGGCTCAGAGAGGCAGTGCAGCTTTCCTAGAGACCCACGGCTAGAGGGTTTCAGAGCCGGAACTTGAACCCAGGTCTTCCTGTCTCATAGATTCCCCCATGGACAGGGAAAGGTGGTGGCTTCTGCCCAAGGAGACTGAGCATCTGTCTCTTTTCCTCCCCAGAGACATGTGCAGTAAATAACGGAGGCTGCGACCGGACGTGCAAGGACACAGCCACCGGCGTGCGATGCAGCTGCCCAGTTGGATTCACGCTGCAGCCGGACGGGAAGACGTGCAAAGGTCAGCTCATGGAGCCGTGTGGGCACGCCGCCACCTGTGCTCACCTGACTCTAAAGCCGGGTGGGCAGGAGCAGGGGCCAAGAGCCCCTATGAGCTGGGCCCAGGGCTGCGCTGGGTGGGGGACAGTGTGTGGCTGCCGGAATATGGGCGGGCACTCGGCAGTCATTCACATTACTGTTGAAGAGGCCAACAGAGACACCCAGTCAGCACCAGGGTCCCAGAGAACACTGGTTCCATGGCACATCAGTAGGTTCCTGGCCCAATGAGATTCTGATATCAAAGAATTTGGCTGCACGCTGGGTCAGGCAATGAAATGGGCGTGTCTACTGTGGGCCTTCCTGGGCCTTCGGCGACTCGAGGCTTCCCAAGGAGGGCAGAGCGTGGCACGTTTCCTACCCACCTGACCTGTAGTTACACGGGGCCTTGCCAAGCTGGTGGGCAGAGTTAGGCACTGGGCTGTTTGGGAGGTGCAGATCTCATACTGGAAAAACAAGGACACTGTGTCATCGTCACTGGGTGAGCAAAGCAGGGAGATTTCAACTGAAGGGACAAGGATACGGAAGGACGTCCACTCCCCTTAGAAAGTGGCGGTTCCTGAGGGTCTGAGATGACCACAGCTGAAGAAGGGCGGGGAAGGGCAGTGTGCTGGTGGCTGGCGGAGAGAGAGGACAGAGGCTGAGCTTTCCACTCAGTCCCTGATTCTTCCTACAAAGAATTACCGAGTGCCTCCTGGGGGACAAGGGACCCTCAGGAAATGAGCAGCACAGTGAGCTGGAGGAGCTGGCTGAGCTCTGGAGACAGGTGCCGGGGAAGGAATGGGCCGGCCCTGCAGGCGGGGAGGACCGTCGCCAGGCCCGGTGACTGTGAGCCGGAGAAGCCACAGGCCTGCCAGGCGGGACATGGGGCCCAAACAGCAAAGCCCCCACGTGCCCCATGGCTCTGGCCACTCTCCTCCCCGACCTTGCCAGGCCTCGGAGGGTGGGGCGTGGAAGGGGAGAGGAACTAGAGCTTTTAAAGTCCCATGAGTGAAAATATTGAAAGCGGAGGTTAGAGTGATTTAAAATAGTTTGAGATGGACTTCTTTTTAAGCCTGTAAAAATAAACAGCGTATTTGACTTCTTCCCTGCCAACTCACTGGGAAGAACCCAGTGATTATTGACAGAAATAACAGTTCTTCCTCCTGTGTATTTGAAAATAAAGCCCTTCTGCAGCCACCACTCAGCCTGTTCATAGCCTTCGTGGGTTCCTGGCAGGCGGGCGGGCAGGTGGGTGGCATCTGAGCCCTTGCCACATGGACTTGGTGCCAGGAGTGACTCGCTGAGGATGCCAGAGGTCTGCGCAGACTTGGGCATGCTCACAGCCCAGTGATGGCAGGGCAGGCCGGCCACTTGCGTCTCTCCGAGGGCGGGGCAGGGCCACCGGAATTGCAGACGGAGGCCGGGGGCCAACCTTTGTGGGCCCAGGAGCTCTAACTGCAGCCCCCTGCCCTTGCCCGTCCCTTGGTGGCCCAAGGGGCACTCATCCCCTCCCCCTCCATTTCTGGGGACAGGAGGTGCTCAGGAGAGCCATCCACACAGCCCCAAGCCCACCAGTCTGAGCCCCACCACCACCACCACCACCACCGCCGCATTTTCTGTGGCTCTTCTTGAAACAAAGTCTCGTTGGAACAATAGGAGCCTGTTAACCAGGGCTGCCCCTTGGGCCAAAACTCCTATGTGGCCACCATGCGGGGCCCACTGTGCAGTCAGAGTCCTCAGGGCCCTCGAGCACCCTGGCCTGCAGTCAGGTGGTCATCTCAATCACTCACTGAACAAACAGGTTTTCTGGGCTCCTACTGCACAGGTTCTAGGGAGATGGGTCAAATAGATCAGACGTCCCCTGTCCCTAGGGATCTCTGTTGTGTGCAGAGGACAGATTTTAGTTTTTTAAATTACTAAGATGAGTGTGTATTGCAGACCACTTCGTGTTGGCTAGAGGACAGCAGCGGGAGGAGCTGGCGAGAGCTGGGCGTGCAGGAGGACTGTAGGGGGGCAGTGGGTGGGGAGCAGCATTCCTGAGCCGTGGCTGCCACGCAGAGGCCAGCAGGCTCAAGGACTTGGGTCTAGGAAGAATGCGAAGGAGCAGCCGGATGGTGCAGGGCCCCGGGGCCGGGGCGAGGGGCCAGCCTGTCACCCAACAGCCTGGCCAGGCCCTGGGCAGCACTGGGCAGGGGAGGCGCAGCCCCAGGTTTCCCTTCTGAAATGATCCCTGGCCAAGCTGGGACAGTGGCCCCTGGGCAGGGTCTAGAAGAGCAGTGAGATGCGGCTGTGGTGGCCCAGGCTCGAGACAGCGGGACTCTGCCAGGGCTGGCAGCAGAGATAGAGAAGCAGAGTTGAGACATGTCAAGAGATACTTGAATTTAAGGGCCGCGGGCCTAGTCTAGAACTGCATCATATGAGCGTCATCGTAACGCCATCGAGTCAGAGCCTGAGAAACCAGGCGGGGATGGACCTCTGGAGCTCAGGATCAGTATCTGGCGTTGTCCCGGCGTGGCTGGAGAGATGCGGGCAGGGGGTCCTGGCAGACCCGCAGCCCTGGGCCTAGGGCTTTGGCCCCTCCATCGGGGCACACGCCCTCACCTTAGCAAGGAGTGATTTCAAAGGCTCAGTGTTTTCTGGAAGCCAAAAAGTCACTGTCAAGCAAGATGGAAGGCTGGCAGGTAACAGAGGGCTTGGAAAACCCAGAGCTGGAAACCCTGGGCTGGAGGGGTCGTGTGGGCAGGTGGAGGCGGGGGTGGGAAAGTGGGGGGTGTTTGCCTGAACATCGGGGCTGTGGGGTGTGGAGGATTTGCCCAAGGCCCCGCTTTGTTTCAGGAGTGTGCACTGGGCCAATTCTAGTCTCAAAGCTCTCTGTTCGGTGCTGTGCGCCATGGGACACTGGGAGGCGGCATCTTGCTGACTGATCCTTCAAGAGGAGGAAGGTCTGGGGCCTTCACTCCCTGTGCTAGAGCCTGGCTTTCTCTCAGGGACACCCACTCCTCTTCCTGACACCTTCCACAACAGTCTGGGAGAACCCCCACCCACTGCCTGTCTCCTCTGCTCCCTCTATGGTGCCCTGGGCCAAGCAAGCGACCCACCAGGACTTTTACCTGAGCAGGAGGAATGGTGCCCTCGCATGCCCTCCACCTGGCCAGCCCAGCAGCTGGCCCTCCCTCCGGGCACCCCAGGGTGATGCCAGCCCACACCGCCATGCCCTCTGCTCTCACCGAAAAGCCCTCCCCCACGTGGTTCCCCCCAGTTGCCAGGCTGTGCCCCGTGGTGCGTAGGGCAGGAGGGAAATTCTGCGAGTTCCTATAGTTCACCCCCTCACCCTGGCCCCACACACTCCTCCCACACCGGGTGGTGTGTCTGCATGTTCCCTGCATGGCCCAAGACCCTACCCCGCCCTGGCCCTCAAACCCTCTCCACTGTCTGCCATCACCCTGACTCATTCTAGGAACGTTCCTAGGCAGTCGCTCGCGGGCCCTGGGGCACCAGGCAGGAGCAGATACCCCATCACTGTGGTCCCAAGACCCTCTCCTGCCCCTGAGGGCAGGTCTTGTGACAAGGGAGCAGCTGACTGTGGAGAGAACATCAGAAGGCTTTCTAGGAGGGCAGCCTTCCCAGGGTGGGTGGGCCTCCCTGCAGAGGGTCAGCGGGTGAGAAGTGGACTGCAGCCAGGTGGGGTGGCCAGAGTCCGGGCAGCCAGGCCCAGGCTGCAAAGGGAAGGCTGTGAGCGCCTGCAGAGGAGCGGCCTTCATCCTGGGAGGCCCGGGGCCTCAGAAGGCCGGTCAGCAGGTAGGGGACTCGGCCAGGTTTGCATGTGGGACCGGGTGCTGGCTGCCTGGGGGAGGGGGCGTGGGAGCCAGTGGGGGAGGGAAGTGGAGAGGGGCAGTACAAAGCTGTACCCTGCGGGCTGTTGGAATGGAGGTCGAGGGGCCGTGTGAGCCTGGCACCCCCTCGCTATGTCCTGGGCTGGCGTGGGAAGGGGGCGTCCCCCATTCTGACCCCCAGGCAGCCAGCTACACCAGCCTGGGCCTCAGGCAAACATGCCTCCCTCTGCCTGTCTGGTTGCTATGACAGCCACTTAGCAGACAGGACCAGATGGGGGAGAGGATGGGGTTGGGGGTTCTAGAAGGCCTGAGGGGCCCCTGTCGGCTTAGCAGTGTCAGCCTGTTTGATCTTGCTGAGGATGCTAGGAGAGGCGACGCCAGGAGAAGCAACCAAGGTTAGCAGCCCCGTTTGCAGACGGGAACCTGCCCCAGGCCACACAGCTGGCCAGGGCAGAGCTGAGATGGGCCTCTGTTCTCCTGGGAGCCTGGGCTTGTAGCTAGAAATTCCGCCGTCTCCTGTGATCCGGGGTTGGAGGGGAGGGGGTGATGGGGAGGCCCGAGGCTCTGCCCAGATGAGCCACGCTGGACTTAGTGTCTCTTTCTCTGGGGGCTGCAGGGCCAGGCCGTGTGCTGGAGAAGGCCCACCTCTGGGGACAGCTGCTGCTGGCTGAGGTCCAGCTCCCGCACGTGGTCTGCGACCCACCTGTAAGGTGGGAGTTCTGCTCTCCCAGGTGTGAAGGTCCCATGAGACGTTGCCAGAAAGTACGTGACACATTCGCCTCCCGAACTGCCAGGGCGCCTGCGTGGGCATCTCAGCCCCGCTCTCTTTAACTCCACGTTCTCTAATACACGGACCAGAGCCCGGGTTTCCGTTTCGTCCTTGGTGGGAAACATTCTGTGGGAACGCTGCTGAGGACTTTGGGCAGGGACGAGTCCAGACTGTTTTGAGACAAAAGAAGTGAGAGTGGCCCAAGGTCAGTCACCATGACAAGGGCTTGGGGTCCCGTGTGAAGTGGGGGCAGGTTCCTCACGGGTCAGTGCCAGCCACACTAGACAGGGGCCTCTGGGCACCTGGCCCAGCAGCCGCACTCAGGTTGGGCTTGGCAGATTCTGGTCAGTGTCGGGCAGCTCTGCTGAGACATGGCCATCGACCACCAGGAGGACATGCTGTCCATCTTCCTTGCCGGGAGGGCCTCTCCCAGCGCTCCCCTTGTGCTCCTCCACATGGGGTGAGGCCGCGCCCACCAGCCGTCCTTTCCTTTGCTACTAATGGCTGGGTCACGTCTGCAGGGGGTGACCCGTGTGGGGGCCTGGAGGCCAGGCCCCAAGGGGAACTTAGGAGTAGCTGGGACTGTGTCCCTGGAAAAGGGGCCCCTCAGAGTCAGTGCCCTGATAGCACAGAATGTCATGCTGGCCTGGAGCCTGAGAGGGAAGCCCAGGTGAGCAGGATGGGGGACCAGGTCTGGGGGACTCGGTCAGGGCTGTACTCACGGCGAGGAGGGCTGGCAGAGATGCTCAGAAGGGTGTCACTGATTTCACAGGATTGGGCCAGGCGACCTTCAGGATATAGCTGCAGTTCTTTACTGGCTGAGCAAAGAAAGAGGCCAGGCAGGTGGGGAGTATGGGTGGGGTACTGGGACGTCAGTCGGCCCGGGGAGCAGCCCAGCTCCCACTTCCAGCCGAAGCCTTTTGAACCAGGTGCTTTATCCTTCTGAGCCTCAGTCTCCTCCTCAAACAGGGGCAATGAGACCTACCTTTTTTATTATTTTATTTTTAGAGACAGGGTCTCACTCTGTTGCCTAGGCTGGAGTGCAGTGGTGCAATCATGGCTCACTATAACCTCGAACTCCTGGGCTCAAGCGACCCTCCTGCTCCAGCCTCCCGAGTAGCTGGGACTGCAGGTGTGCCTCACTGCACCTCGCTAACACCTACTTTTTAAAAGTAGCAGCACCTTAGGAATGGGATTGCACGCCGTCCTCACCACGTGCTTCACAGCGGGTGCGCTTCCTACCCTTGCTATGCAGACAAGAGCCCTGGGAGGGGCAGTAGCTTGCCCAAGGTTGGCAGAAGTGGTCCTTGTCTGGTCCAGCCCCACAGCCAGGCTGCCTCCCCGAGTATGCAAATGAAAGGATGTGGGGGATGTCATCGTCCCTGCTGTATCACTTCCTCTCTGTTCTATGTTGTCAATGCCAGGCTTGCCGAGCTCAGGGGAAGCAGGGAAGCGTGGGGGGCTGGACCTCCACATGTAACCCAGCCCCCAACCCCACCTCAGTGGGACAGGGCCCACCATATGCCCAGCTGGGGCCTGAGGCCAGCCCTGGGCAGTGGGCACAGGCAAGTGAGGACAGTGCTATCCCCCACACTGGCCCCAAGTGCCCCCACAGGGTAGGTACACAGGCTCATTCTCCTCACCCCCCCGCACCTGGCTCCCACAGACATCAACGAGTGCCTGGTCAACAACGGAGGCTGCGACCACTTCTGCCGCAACACTGTGGGCAGCTTCGAGTGTGGCTGCCGGAAGGGCTACAAGCTGCTGACGGACGAACGGACGTGCCAAGGTGAACCCCCTGCCGTGCGCTGGGCTGCCCTGGGCTCCCCGTCCTCATCGGGTCCCTTCTCCTCCCAGGCTTATGCAGGCCCCTAGGAGGGGAGGCGAGCGTGGATGGGGTTGGCCCACGCTGCCAGGCTGGGCAGCTTTTCAGTCCTCAGCGTGTGCTCCCCTGCACCCTCCCTTCCCTGTCCTTTATGAGTCTAGGGGCCATCCGGTCCAACCTGTCCCTTTTATAGATGGGAACTGAGGCCCAGGGAGGGATCAGCACATGTCCTAGGTCCCAGCCCTCCCCTCCAGGTGGCCCCCAGGCCTCCTCCAGGGGCTGAACCACCCAGGCTCCTGCGGTGGAGTGCTGCCACCTGGTGGGTGGAATTGCACATCGCAGGCGCTCTCCAACAGTGCGTCCTTAGGGTCCTGGGTGCCTGCTGGGAACAAGGGTGGTGGGCAGAGAGGTCAGAGCAGAAACCAAGAATCACCACCCAGGACAAGCCCCATGGAGTGCAGGATGCAGCAGGAGCCCAGAGGATGGACAGTGGAGGGAGGTGGTCAGGGAAGGCCTCCTGGGGAGGGTTCCTTAGTGAAATGCTTGAAGGATGAGTTTCCAGGAGAAGCCGGGGAGATAAACTCACCCAGGAGATGGCGCTATGGGGCTGAGGAGGCTTGGGGGCCACAAGGAGCCCAGTGGGGCTGGAGGAGGCCCTTAGGAAGGAGGTGGTGCCCTGTGGGACTGGCTTGGGAGACGATGCAGAAGGAGGGGTGGAGGGCTTGGTTTCCCCAGTGGTTGCTCCGTGTGCTCTAGTTGTTTTGTTTCCGCAGGGTACTGGTGGCTCAGCTGCACATGGCCATTCTGGCTATGGGACTCGCAGCTTCTGCCTGCCAGTGCCGCTCAGAGCTGGCGCTGGAGCAGCGTGAGGCCCTGGGGAAGGTGAGAGCAGAAGGCTGGCAAGGCGGCGTCCAGGGCCAGGCCGTCCTCTGCTCACCTTGTGACCCAGACCGGTCACTGCCCCTCTTCGTCCCTGGCTGGACATCCCAGCGCTGTCTTCCTCTCAGGGCACAGGGTCAGGAGCAGGAAATCTGTCCAAGTCCTGATAAGGGCTCCTCTGACCTTGACTTTGTTTCATTCGGCCTTGCCAGGTCCTGTGTAGGGCTGAGGGGCTTGGCTTTGCATTTCCAGCTGCCCTCTGAGAATGGTGGGCGGCTGCCGAGGAGGCGGCGAGATGGCAGGATGGCGGGTCTGCTCCTGGGCTCCAGGCCGAGGCTCTGTCCTCCCTGCCTAACCCCCACCTGTGTCTTCTCCACCCTCTTCCAGGCTCATCTCTCTGGTCCAACACCAGGTCCAACAGGGAGGGGTCTGTGCTCCTTTGCCTGGCAGTCTTGTGATGGGGACCCCAGACACATGCCTAGTCCCCCTTGAGCTCCACAGAATCCCCTGGGCACCCCATGCTGCCACTTCCCAGCCTTTGCGTGGAGCCCTTCCTCCGCTGTCATTCCTGCATTCCAAGCTGGCCTGTCCTACCAAGTCTAGCCCAGGTGCCACAAGCACCAGGAGGTCTTCCCAGATCCCCCCGGGAAGGATCACATCCTCCTTTGAGCACTCACAGCACCATTCCTTCCTTGTGTTAGTGTTCTCGTAAATACACGTGTATTATGAATATGTGTGAAGTGGCATGAGCTAATGTATTCAAAGAATGAACTCCTAACTGCTGTCCCTGTGGAGGATCAAGTTGGTGTCTGCTTTACCCTCGTGGGCCCCCATCAGCTGTCCTATAGGAGCCATTTTTCTCAGAATTTATAGCCAGGATAGACTTGTCTCCCATCAATATATGGTTCATTTTCTTCTTTCCAGAAACAAGTACTTGGTGACCCTTGTTTTTTCCTTTTTTACCTTGGCTTCCAGGAAGCTCATAACCAAATTTCACAGTGTCAGAACTCTCTTTTTACCCTTTATGGGTAGCATATTTTCCCTTCCTTTCTATTTCTGCTGTTTTCCTTATTTTCTCAAGAAACATTCTGGGGTGATAGGAAAATATGCTTGAGTTAGCATCCAAGAGGCTTGGGCTCATATCCTAATTCAGCTGCTTCCTCAGAGTCCTGGGGAAAGCCTGCAGTTTCCTGCAGGTGTGGATTAAATACCTCTACTAATCACAGTTAAATATGAGATATTAAAATGGCAGAGGCCGGGCGAGGTGACTCACGCCTGTAATCCTAGCTCTCTGGGAGGCCGAGGCGGGCGGATTGCTCAAGGTCAGGAGTTCAAAACCAGCCTGAGCAACAGCGAGACCCCGTCTCTACTATAAATAGAAAGAAATTAATTGGCCAACTGATATATATATAAAAAATTAGCCGGGCATGGTGGCGCATGCCTGTAGTCCCAGCTACTCCGGAGGCTGAGGCAGCAGGATCGCTTGAGCCCAGGAGTTTGAGGTTGCTGTGAGCTAGGCTGATGCCACGGCACTCACTCTAGCCTGGACAACAAAGCAAAACTCTGTCTCAAAAAAAAAAAAAAATGGCAGAGATTCATAATAATCCCTTCTATTCAAACTATTTCTACCTCGCTTGCCTCCAGAAAAGAGGTAAGGTGGCTTCTAACCCAGAAACGGAACGTTGATGGAGACAAAATGGAAAACTGAGCAGCAACAAGAAGTCTAACATTTGCTGTGGGTCAGCTCTGTACTGAGCCTCAGGGCCCAGGGACTGTCCCTCACAGATGTGCATTGAGTCACAGTGGCAGGTCATGCCCACCCACCACACCTCAAATTCCTCCCCGAACTTTGTCTCCCTGTGGCCACACAGACATCGACGAGTGCTCCTTCGAGCGGACCTGTGACCACATCTGCATCAACTCCCCCGGCAGCTTCCAGTGCCTGTGTCACCACGGCTACACGCTCTACGGGACAACCCACTGCGGAGGTCTGCAGCCTGCCTGCCAGGGCCACCTCCCCCCAGAGGCACGCGCCTGGCCACATGGCCACCCACACTGCACCCCATATCCCAACCCTAACCTCTACCCTGGGGGGCCTGGGAGGGATCTCGGCCAGGCTGGGGACTGCTGGGCAGAGGACTTGGCTACGGGCAGGGCAGGAGCAGGGGTTGGGGAGAGGCAGAGGCACCTGCTGGGTGCTGGGCCTTGGCCAGGTTGTGGGGTGGGCCTGGCAGCCATAGGCACTGGGGAACCCTGAGCCAGAAGGGGGCGTGGCTGGCACACAGAAAATCCCACAGGCAATTCGGGTCACAGCAGAAGGGCAGTGCGTAGGGACGGTCCTAATGGAGGAATGCTGGGTCAGGGTGGGGCAACATTGCAGAGGGCCCTGCGGGGAAGGCACTGGCTGGATTGGTGGGAGGGAGCAGCCGCAGCAATGTGGCTGGAGCTCCGGGAGAAGGGGTCATGGTGGGAGAGGCGGGCTGGGAGGTGGCATGACCTGACATGCAGGGTCCATTAGTCCCCAGGGGACAGAGGTTCTGTCCCCAGTGAGAGGAGAAACCACTGGAGGGTTTGGGCAGGGGCATAATATGGCCAAGTTCACGTCATGAGATGCACCCACTAGCACATGGAAAGGTGTGGAATCCGGGGTCCCCGAGGGGACACGGCTCTGGGCACGTGGCTCTGGCACTGTGGAGCTGGGGCAGGGTGGGCTCAGCTGGGGAGGAGGGGAAGGCTCTAGATGTGTTTAGGAGCAGAGCTGAGCTGACAGGACCTGGTGTTACGTAGTTGTGGCAGGTGACTGTGGCCCAAGCATGGCCCAGGTGTCTCTCCCTTTTCTGTGACCTGGGGGTAGCCACACTCACCGTGCCGGCAGCCTGGAGATCAGGTGGGGTCAGCAATAGACTGATCAGGGCACAGGGTGGCTGCTGGAGGTGGGCTACAGATTCTCCGGGAACATCAAAAGTCAGCATCGCTCCCGGGGCCAGCGCTCCCTGGCGTGCAGGCAGCCTGAGCCACGGGCGTGAGGCCCGGCCCTTCCTCTGTCTCTGGTGGGCGCTCTGGTCAGAGGAGGCAGGCAGGGCCTTGGACGTGGCTTCTTTCCCCTGTGCCTACTGTGCGGGATGGGCACTGAGGCTGGGAGGGGCTTGTCCACAGTCCCGCCGCCCACAGGACCCGGCTGGGTGGGAACTGTAGTTGTGCGCCGCCTCCTCTGCCCTCCCCAGTCCGGGTGCAGCTGCTCGAGTTCAGAAACCTGCCGAGGTTCCAGGGGAAGGGAAGTGTGTTTGTGCCTGTGAGGAGCCTTGTGCTCCTGTGCGTGTGTGCGCGTGTGTGTGTGTGCATACGTACATTTGGGTGTCTGGCACGTGCAGCTACTTGCTGGGGTGGCATGGTGGTGTCAGGCCCTCGTGTCCCGTGGGCTCTTGCCCTGCCAGCCATGCGGGTGTGGCCTGGGCCGGCCATCCGCATCCCCCTCCCACTCTCACTCCCCGCTGTGCTTCCAGATGTGGATGAGTGCAGCATGAACAACGGGAGCTGCGACCAGGGCTGCATCAACACCAAGGGCAGCTACGAGTGCATCTGCCCCCCAGGGCGGCGGCTCCACTGGAACAGGAAGGACTGTGTGGGTGAGTAGGGACAGGGCCACCTGCACTGGCTCCTGCCCTTCCACCTGGGGTTGGGTGGAGGTGAGCAAGGCATGGCCACCCACTTTCTTTGGGCCTTGGGTTAGTAGGCAGGGATTCTCTGCTGCAGGGATATGGCTAATGGAGGGGGTCACAGGTGACAGCAAGCTTAGGGTCAGCTGGAGGCACAGAAACAGGAACCTGTGGCAGAAAGGGGTCCCAAGGAGGAGATCCAGGAGTCAGTGGGCAGCCAGAGCCATGGGGCCAGGACCCTGCTGGTGTCTCAGTGGGGCTGGGGCCTTATGGGGAGTGCAAGTGGAGGCCCCACCTCCCCCAGCTTCCCCTGTGCTGCTGAGGAAGCTGGGGGAGGGGCAGTGGTTACAGGGGTGCAGCAGCAGCACGTCCCATCTGTCTTTCCAAACCCCCTGCCTGTCCAGCTCCAGACCCACAGCTGGGAGCAGGGCAGGGCCCCTAGAAAGGCTGAGTTCCAGGTGGCCTGCACATTCCCTGGGTCCCACACACTGGCTGGGCCCTGACCTAGGCACAGGGCTGCGTGCCTGCCCCCAGAACCCGCTGTCCAGGCCCTTGCCCTGCTGGGCTCTCACGTCCCCAGGGCCACTGGAGTGAGCCTTTCAGATCTGCTGGGATGTCCTTCCGGGCCCAGAGCCTTCCAGTGACTCCTGCTTCACTCAGAATCAAAACCACTGTTCTCCGAATGGCCAGAACGCTGCTCCCGACTGGCCTCTCACCTTCCCCTCCCCCTCGGTTGCTTGTGCCAGCCTCACCACCCTAGATGGAGCCCCGCTCTTCTCTGGGCCTGGAGGGCTCCCCTCAGCACTCCTTGCTCCTCCCTTGCCGTGGGGTCTGCTCGGCAAGGCCTACCCCGACCCCCAGGCCAGAGCAGCAGCCCTGCCCACCTCTGGCCCCTTCTCGGCCCTCTTTGCGATCCAGCTTTCTTTTCCCTTCACACTTCTGTGGCTGTCTGTCGCACTGGAATATAAGTTTTATAGGGTTGAACAGGTGCTCTTGGCCTGTCCTGTTTACTGCTACATCCCCAGCCCCTAGAACAGAGCCTGGCAATCATAGGCACGAAGTATTTGTTGAAAGAATGAACGCATCAAAGAATGGAGACCACCACTTATTACCTGAAATTGCAAAGATGAATTTGTTGCTTACTTAAGTAAGGAATCGCTGCGCTGCTCAGGCACAGTCTTTGTTGGACAAAGCAAACCGCTGGTGTTGAGCTGAGTCTGGGAAAGGGTTTATCGTGCTGGTTGCAGAGGCAGGGCTGGGTGAGGTCGATCCTAGAAGCATGGCGTGTGCTGATCATTGCTCCAGGGCTGACAGTCTTTCTCCAGCGGTATATAGGGAGGTGTTTTTGGGGGATCATACCACAAGTGGCGGCTGAGACTTAAAGGTAAAGGGCAAGATCTGAAGATGCTGAGACTCATTTCAGCAGGGCCGCAATTGCTCTGAGGCAGGGAACTCGCCTTGCTGCTGGGTCAGGGAGTTGAGCGGGTTGCTGATGCTCACCTGTTGTTGAGTTTGTACCCGAGAGCATGGCCTAACCTTGGCATGTTCTTACAAGAAAAAAGTTTGTGGCAACTGGGAAGGCTCAGTGTGGACTCCCCACTGAGCTCTGTTCCAGTCCTGCGGATGTCGTGGATGCTCTCGCCCCAGGGATTCTGGTTTTGACTTGCGTGTAATGTAGGCACATCACGGCGCCTATCAACCGTATAGAATTAGAATCATGTGTAAGAGGATTTTCTGGGGCTTCCAGAAATAACCCTCTTAAGTGTACTTTGTCTGGCTGCCCCAGTTGCAGAATAGATCTCTCCCCACCACACACGTAGGGCCTTTGTCCCAGAGAAAAGAAGGGTGTTCTCTGGTCAGAACTTGGGAAAGAACTGAGGACCGTTAGAAAGCCTCACTCCTTGAGCGGTTTTAGTAAACCAAAACAAATCCAGTTCCTGTCCCCTCGAGCCTCCTGCAACTTCCTGTACACTCCCAAGTTTACCTTTTACTACCTTCTTTCACATTCTCACACAGCCAGACACTCTTTAAGGTTCAAGTACTTGTTCCTTCCTCCCCCCTTTACTGTCAGTTTGCATTCCCTCTTGCTTTTCAGGCAACCTTGAACTTTACTCTGAGGGCTGATGTTCTGTGGTAGCAGAATTGCTGGTGTATATGGGGAACTCTGGATCTGATGTTTTACCCACCTGCCAGCCGGGTAAGCTGGCCTGCTGCTGGTTCAGGGGTGCTGGCAGAAGCCACGAGCCTCCTGGGCAGGAGACAAAGGACGTTATTACTCCAGAGCACAGCAAGTGGCATGAGCATCGTGTTTGCTTTGGCTCCCTTGCTCCCCGCCCCAGGTCCCTCAGGGGTGACTAAGAGGGGTCCAGGCACATGCCGCACAGGCCGGGCAACCCAAGCTGAGCGTGGGAAACTCACCACTTTCACATGAGTGGAAGCCAGCCTGCTCTTTGTCTGGGGGAGGTGTTACCTCATCCCTCGAAATTGCTGGCTGCAAACATGACCCTGGGAAATGGCCCAGGGAAGAAGCAGTCAGGGCTTGGCATCCTCTGCCTACCTGGCGAGAACCTTCGGGGTGTGATGGATTACCTTCCCGTGACTGGCCCCAGGTGAGCAAGAAAGCTGTGTTCTTGTCTATATGCATTGACAGTCCATTTGTGAATTTAGAGAAAACTGAGATTGGTGGCTTGTTGTTATTCTGTTCTTAGGCAGTGTGAATGTGGGTTCTCCAGTGGCTCCTTGGCTGGTTTTGTCTACAGGTGTTCTGACGTTTTGTGTTTAACTAGGAGCCAGATGCTTTCATCCAGAGAGTCATAAAGTTTTTGTTTATCTCTAGATTATTTATTTTCTAAGACTCCTTGAAAATGTGCAGCCACATGTTGAAGATCACCTAGATTGTCAATTTCCCATTCCAATTTATTTTTCCAACTAAGTCCTCTATTCTGTGTATGAGCCCATTTATCAAAAGAAAGGATAGGACTCCCTTTATTCTGGTGTTTGGGTCCCCCTCAAAAATATTGTTTGAAATTTTAAAGTCTATGTTTAAAGTCTTCTATTAAATCATATATAGATTTTTTTTGAGGGGGCATGGGGTCTGGCTGTATCACTCGGGCTGATCTCGAACTCCTAGGCTCTAAGATAAGCACAAGTTAGGATTATAGTCTAAATTCCTACGCATGCAGGACTTCTGTGGGTCAGTTGCAGCCTTGGTATAACAAACCCGTGATAGTCACTACAGTCAGCCAGAAGTGTGTGCTTAGAATGGCCTCCCAGGTCCCCCGACCCAACAGAGGCTAGCAAGGGCCATGCTATCAATGCCCTGACAGTCGTTACCCAAGAACCTGGAGAACAAAGTGACCTCCTTTCATGTGTTGACAGAACAGGAGGGTCTGCTTGAAGACTTTATAAAGGTCTGCCTAGTTGTCTGCACAAATTGGTCCCTAGGCAAATAGACCTGTGACCACTGGTCCTGGGGCCACCTTGGGCTGAGTCAGAAGGTGCAGAGCCTGTGTCCGTCTGCTCCCCAAGGAGCATCCCCTATCCACCCAGCGGACACAAGACCAGTCAGACTGCAACATAACTCATGGGATACAACTTTACGCAACAGTCAAACAAGAGCAGAGGCAAAGCCCACAGCAGAATGCGCCTCCAACCCGGAGGGCTCATTACCCAATCACAGCTCCATTTGGTAGCAAAGTCGTTAGCGCAAGAGCTCCGCACGGCAGGTAAGACTCGGGTCTCTGTTGAGCTGCGCTCTCCTAGAGACCAGTCTGCAGGGTGGACGAATGTCTGTGGGTCCCAGGCTTCCACAGAACACTGGGAAACCAGGGTTTTCTAAAACAACCCCATCCCCAAGGATGAGATCGCCACTCAGATTCTTAAACCAAAAGGCTGAGTTTACTGCCTACGGAAGGGAGAGCTGTGCTTGTCAGGTGTGTTCATTGAGCAAGCAAACTGCTTATCCCTCACAGGGAAAGTTTATTTTAGGTTGTGTCAGGATTAGGTTGGTGAGAGTCTTAAATCATGCCTGTAATCCTAACACCGGGAGGCCAAGGCGGGAGGATCATTCAAGGTCAGGAGTTCGAAACCAGCCTGAGCAAGAACGAGATCCCGTCCCTACTAAAAATAGAAAGAAATTAGCTGAACAACTAAAAATGTGTCGAAAAAATTAGCCGGACATGGTGGCGCATGCCTGTAGTCCCAGCTACTCGGGAGGCTGAGGCAGGAGGATCACTTGAGCCCAGGAGTTGGAGCTTACTGTGAGCTGGCACTCTAGCCCGAGCAACAGAGTGAGACTCTGTCTCAGAAAAAAAAGCATGGCCTGTGTTGGCCACAGAAGGGAAGCAACTGAGCCTAGACTTCTGGTTACTGGAGTGACTGCACACTTAGGACTGACTCAGAGCGTGAGGCTGTCACTAAGGAGCTGGCCTTCAGAGGTGTGTCACTTAAGCCAATTGTCACTGACTGATTAGGCATCTGTAAAATCTGTTCTGATATTTACCAAGGCTATAGAACTGCCCATCTTTTCCTGAGAGAAATTCTGAAGAGCTGTTTGGGACATCTTCAGACACCTATGGGTGTGTTGGGAGCTGCCCGAGAGACGTGGTTCCCAGTGGCCCATCCCATGCTTAAAGGTCAGGTCACTGCCAAGAAGCTCATGTTCAGTGACAGACAGCCATTCCCTACCCCAGACAAGGATGGACACCTGCTCTGGAGAACTCGGCCTGCCCTCAGGGAGCTCCTGGCCTGGGGATGGGGCACGAGATAGCTCGTGGCTGAAGGGGAAGAGGAGCCAGCTCTCTGGGCCCAGCATCCCTACATGGCCAAGTGGATCTGGACCCTGCCATCTTCAAGCCTCTTCCCACCAAGACAGTCTAGCATGGGAGGAGGCATGGCAGGTGTCCCTGTTGGTCCCTGCTCAGGGCCCTGCCAGCTCCAGGAAGCCTCCACCCTGGCCTCAGGCTCGCTCTTGTGTCTCCTTCTCCTCAGAGACGGGCAAGTGCCTTTCTCGGGCCAAGTCCTTGCCCCAGGCCCAGCTATCCTGCAGCAAGGCGGGTGGTGTGGAGAGCTGCTTCCTTTCCTGCCCAGGCCACACGCTCTTCATGCCAGGTAACCCCAGGCTGTCCCTGGGATGGGATGGTGTTGTAGGGGGCTTCTTCCCTGATGTCCAGCCCCTGCTCCCTGCTGTTCTCCAGGAAAGAGCCCGACCTAAGGAAGGGCCCTGATTGTGAGTGATCCAGGGCAGCTGCCAGTTCTCTGTAGACCTCACTGTCCTTCTCGGCAAAGGCAGTGGCTCATTCCTGCCGGCCACTGACCTGTAGCCTTGTAGCAGAAGCAAACTGGCATAGGGGTCAGTCCTGACCTTCAGCTGATTCAGCAACCCCTCTTAGACCCCAAGAATTTAGGGCCCAGGAGGGGGGTGCACCCAGCCCCATCTCACCCACTGGCCTCTCCGCAGACTCGGAAAACAGCTACACCCTGAGCTGCGGCGTTCCAGGCCTCCAGGGCAGGATGCTACAGAAGCGCAACGGCACCAGCTCTGGCCCCGGGCCCGGCTGCTCAGGTAACCTTTCGGCCTGTCCACACTGCACACACCTGGGTGACCCCTTGACTTTGCGTCCAGCACCATGAAGGGGCACGTAGGGGCACCACCCAGGGAAGAGCTTCCTGGTCTGGGCCCTGCCCAGCATGGCCTGAGGCAGTGGAGGTGGGCCAGCCAGGACCTAGAAGCCAGCAGGCTACAGGCTGCGTTCCAGCTCAGGCCTGTGGCCCGTGGGAGAGCCCTTCTGGCTCTGTCACAGTACAAGGGTGTTCCAGTGACTCTAAAATGCGAGTCCACAGATCTCAGGCTCTGTTCCAGTGGAGTAAGCTGCATCTGCTGTGGCAGTGAGCCTCTTAAAGCTCTCCGAGTCAGAAAGCTCCCCTTGAAGGCTGTGCCCAAGAAGTGCCGAGGCTCAGCATGCTCCCAGCCCTTTGGGAACAGCAGCAGGGCCGTGGGCACAGCACGGCCAGCCTTCCCACCAGCTTGGGGGCCGGGGAAGGTCTTCAGCAGCTTTTGTTATGCAGAATGCTGGATTTGATAAGACAGGTGCATTTGTGTATATTTACCACATGCATGATGTGATTCTAAGCATCTGTGACTATAAAATTTTTTTAGTCGAAGGAGCGATGATTTGCCCTTCGAAGGAAGCAGCAGTTCCTGGTATCTGTAACATTTCACACCCCTAGGCCGGGCGCGGTGGCTCACGCCTGTAATCCTAGCACTCTGGGAGGCCAAGGCGGGCGGATTGCTCGAGGTCAGGAGTTCAAAACCAGCCTGAGCAAGAGCGAGACCCCGTCTCTACTATAAATGGAAAGAAATTAATTGGCCAACTAAAAATATATACAAAAAATTAGCCAGGCATGGTGGTGCATGCCTGTAGTCCCAGCTACTCGGGAGGCTGAAGCAGGAGGATCGCTTGAGCCCAGGAGTTTGAGGTTGCTGTGAGCTAGGCTGACGCAACGGCACTCACTCTAGCCTGGGCAACAAAGTGAGACTCTGTCTCAAAAAAAAAATAAAAATAACATTTCACACCCCTTCCCTTCCTTGTTCCCTGCTCTTTTCTGTTCTTCCCTCCTTCCTAAAAGCATGAGGCACGCTAAGCTAATGGCTTTGGTGATAGGGATGAGAATACCTCTGGCTGGATGACCCCTGAGTTTAGGCCTGACACTGCTCCCCAACACATACACACACACACATTCATCTTTACCAAGCCTTGCAGGGAGAGAAAGGGGCAGGGAAGCTTCCCCTACCCTGGGAGGGCTGCCAGGGAAGAGTGACTCAAACCAAGCCCCACCCCAGCTCCAGGTGGATTTGTCCCCTGGCAGCCCCCGTCCCCCAGCACCTCCTTGCCCACAGGAGAGGCCACCACCTAGGGGATTTTGGCTTTCCCTAGATGCCCCTGTCACTACCATCAAGCAGAAGGCCCGCTTCAAGATCAGAGATGCCAAATGTCACCTCTGGCCCCATAGCCGGGAGCGAACAAAGGAGACCCCAAGGCAACCGCTGCTGGGTGAGTGGGCTACCCTGGTGCCACCACATACTAGGGGACAGGGAGGGAGCCCCCAGGCCTGGAGCTGGGGCCCAGGCCTTTCCAGGAAGAAAGCTTCCAGCTCTGATTCCACGAAGATTCTTTCTCAAACCTGCCTGAGCTCTGAGCACACAGCAGGCTTCGCCTGAGTCTCCCCTGGCCAGACCCTCAGCAGGCCCTGAGCTGGGGGACACCGCTCGTTAATGCATATGCAGGAGGTGCTTCCACGTGCAGTGGTGTGGTGGACTCAGAAGGGCTCTGTGCGAGACCTAGGTCAGCCACCAAACCCTCATGAGACCCTAAGCCAGCCCTGGCTTTCTCCAGCCTCAGTTTCCCCATCTGCACCATGGACTATTAGGCCTGGAGGGACCCTTGCTGACAGCAGTCTGTGTGCAGGGCTAGGTAAGATCCTGCTCCCTGCCCCAGGCCACCATGGTCCCTTCATTGTCTAGACAACTGCCACGTGACTTTTGTGACCCTCAAGTGCGACTCCTCCAAGAAGAAGCGCCGTGGCCGCAAGTCCCCTTCCAAAGAGGTGTCCCACATCACGGCAGAGTTTGAGGTTGAGACGAAGATGGAAGAGGCCTCAGGTAGGTGAGGGCTTCTCTCGTGGGCTGCTGCGGACCTGAGGGAAGACAGCAGACTCGGCGCTGGCGGGGTCTGCTGGACACGAAGCTGGGCTCCCCACCCTGCCGTGGCTTCTGGAGGAGAGGCCAGCCCGTGAGCAGAGGGGACTGGCCTGTAGCCGGTGGTGGAAGAGGCAGCAGGGCAATTCGAGGAAGGGCTCCAGGGACCACAGAGAGCCACATGGCCTCCCTCCACACCCCCCACCGCCCCCTTGCTGGTGCCCAGAAGGGCAAATGTGTGCAGCTCCCCAGAATGGTCACACCAAGAACTATCTCCCCAGGTTGCAGAAGGAAGCTTGTCACCCCAGCTTGCTTCATCCCACTGCTTTCCTCCTGGCTGTAAATGAGTACCGAGTTGTGACACAGGAGTTGAGATGTGTCTGCAGGTGTGCGTGAGGTGTGCCTGGCCCTGGGCCCGGGCCCCATGGAAGGAAAAGGCTCTGCCCCGACAACACTCCCCGCCACAGAGAGGCAGCCGTACACGCAGAGCACCCGGTGCCGGGTGCGACTCCAGGTGGTGGGCGCGTGAGAACAAACAGAGCCTAGAGCTGAGGTCTCTCCCCACCAAGGGTCTCAGGAAGCCTTCCCAGAAGTGGTGCCATTTGCGTGAGAGCTTGAAATCAAAGTTCACTGGGTGGAAAAGCTGTCATGCAGTGGCATGGAGGAAGAGGGAATAGACTAGGCAAAGGCACAGAGGTCAAAAAGAGTAGGATGTGTCCAGGAAGAGAGGGGGGCAGGGGGACAGACAGTGGGGTTCACCCAAGCATTGGGAGCATTAGGGATTGGGGCTGGCAAGGGCTGGACCCCAGAGGGCTTGGATTCAAGGCCAGAGAGCTAGACACTATCCTGGGGACAGTGGCAGTCCTCAGGGCTCTTTGAGTGACAGAAAGAAGCCCCTACCCAGTGAGGTATGTGTGACATGTTGCCATGACAGAGGCATGGCATGCACTCAGATCTGTTTCGTGGCCTTTGGCAGGTCACACTTCTCAGAACCTCAGTCTCCTCACCTGTCAGATGGGCATGACAGTGGCACCTTGCCCCAGGGCTGCTGTGAGGGTGCACTGAGGTGGTGCAAGCAGAGGCCTAGCACAGCGCAGGCCTGGTGGCATGGGCACCCTCAGCAAAGAAGGCAGCTGCTGGTGAGGCCACGGTTACTCTGTTCTCTTTCTCCTGTCCCTGCAGACACCTGCGAAGCAGACTGCGTGCGGAAGCGGGTGGAGCAGAGCCTGCAGGCTGCCGTCAAGACCCTGCGGAAGTCCATCGGCCGGCAGCAGTTCTACGTCCAGGTCTCAGGCACTGATTATGAGGTAGCCCAGCGGCCGGCCAAGGCCCTGGAGGGACCGGGGATGTGCAGCACAGGCCAGGTGCTGCAGGACAGCAAATGTGGTGAGTCCTTGCCCGTGGCCACTCAGATGCTGACTTGGCAAACTTTCTCTGTCCTTCTTTGCTCGTGCAGCCTGGGTAAGCAGCACTGGAATATTCTATAGAAGAATATGGGCATGTGTACACGTGCACACACGTGCATCCGTATGGTTTCTGTAGGGCTGTGCTTGTGCGTGTTATAAAACTGTGAGTCATACGGATACCTCGATGCAACACCCCAGGGTTCTTTGTAACTTCCCCGCCTCCATGTTTGTAAGCCTCCTCCCCAGCAGGGAGAAACCTGCTCCCTTTCTCCCCCATTTTCTGATGCACCCGGTTTCTGGGCTTGAGCACACAGAGATGACCACCCGGCCACCATTCCCCACCTCCACTTCCAGCAGTCTCTCCGCTTTGCCTCTGCAGGGGCCTGCGGGCCTGGCACCTACTTCAGTGGCGAGCTCAGCCAGTGTGTGCCGTGCGTGCCGGGGACCTACCAGGATGTGGAAGGCCAGCTCAGTTGCACCCCGTGCCCCAGCAGCGACGGGCTTGGTCTGGCAGGTGCCCGCAACGTGTCTGAATGTGGAGGCGAGTGTGGGCCCTCCCTGGAAAGAGAGGTGTCAAGGGAGAGAGGGGGGCAGATAGGGCCCCTCCTGTCCAGGCTGAGGCTCCCAGAGCAAAGTCCTGGTGTGGCCACAGAGCACGGTATTTTCTAAAGCTCTTGCCATTCCCAAACCCTTTCATGATTTCCGTGCAGTCGCCTCTTAACGAAGCGTATTACAGATCCCAGAGCGTCGGCGTGTCTCAGCGTACACGCCAGTTACCACGCACCCAGTGCACTCAGCATGCTTTTCAGATTGCACTGTGCCATTTGGAAAGGACTTCACAGTACACAAACACTTACAGGTCAGCTTAGGGTTTATAACAAGATGCATCAGTGCTTTACAGTTGGCCCAAATATATTACATTTTATGGAATATTCCATGATCAAAACGCTTTACACAGTGTACTGTATGCTGGAACAAGAACTTTGCTCTATACAAAGAACTTTATAATTTGCCTTGTAAATGGTTTAGAAAGCCCTTTTTCAATTTACCAAGCACAATTGGGTTTGCAAAGAGCTTTTCCAGTGACTACCCCACACTTAACCCCATCTGTGAAACGGGCTTATAATCTCCTCATAAGCCTCCCTTTCAGGGCCACTGTGGGGCTCACCTAGAAAATGGGGGGAGACTCAGCACCCTGAGAAGTGTGGCACCTGCGAGGGTGGCTGAGTGGTCCTTGGGGTAGTGGAAACCTCCAGCCCTCTCCCAGGGACAGAAGCCGGCTGCTGTCTGGCCCTTGGCCTGCTTCTGCAGTGCAATCTCCACCCCCAGGGGGACTGGCATCTGTTAGAGCACAGGGTGGCCACTGGTGGGAGAATCACTGTTGGGTTAGAAGCCGAGAATTCCAGGGTCTGGGCTGAGAGGACACTATACCCACCCTTTACTCAGTGCCAGAATGTCCTCTGCATCCTGACTTTCTGCTGGAATCTATGTTGAGCTGAAATTGGCTTTCCTGTGGTCTCCTCCCTTTGTCCCAGGGGTGCCCTTGGGTACCTCGAAGACCCTCGCAGCCTCTCTTGCCTCTGCTCTGGCCAGGCGTTGCTGATAGACAAGGCAGCGTCGGTCAGGAGCTGACCAGGCCAGTTCCTCCTGCCCGTGGGGAGAGCACCTCTGAAATAAATGATGCTCCCCGCCCATGGGGTACCCACTTCCAGCTCAGCACAAGGCCACTTGTTCTTTGACCCCCAGCCCTTCTTGCTGGTGGGAGCAGTAAGGCCAGGCTTGGCCACGGCTACACAGCAAACCGCTGGCAACATCTGGACTGAGGGCCCAGCTTCCTGCCATCCAGGCCGCTGCGCTCTCCCCACCTCGGGCCTCTGGGGCAGGCAAGGGCCAAGAGCAGGGCCTGAGGCCACCCACAGCCTCAGTGACCGCAGCGCCCGCTCACGCCTGAGTCATGACCTCTGACTTCCAGGCCAGTGCTCTCCAGGCTCCTTCTCAGTGGACGGCTTCAAGCCCTGCCAGGCCTGCCCTGTGGGCACGTACCAGCCCGAGCCCGGGCGCACCAGCTGCTTCCCCTGTGGCGGGGGGCTGCTCACCAAGCACGAGGGCACCGCCTCCTTCCAGGACTGTGAAGCCAAAGGTGAGGATGCCCACCTGCCCACCCGAGGGTGGGGCCAGGCTGCCAAGGTGCGTCCTCCCTCAGCTCCTCCCACCTCCACCGCGGTCAGAGGAGGAGCCTGGAGCCATCAGGCAGTGGACACAGGTGACCAGCACTAGGACACGGCTGCAGTTACAGTCACCAGCTTGCCGAGTGCCTAGAAACAGTGAGGGGAAGGAAGGTTGGGAAGGTGAGGAAGGTGTAGAAGGGCAGGGCCAAGGTCAGGATCAAGGCAGACTCGCCTCGGTGGCCCCCTCCTCACCCACCAAACCCAGTCCCCACTCTCAGCAGGTGACACTGCTTAACCCCACACCTGCCTCTCAGCAGCTGCCAGTCTGTCTGTGCTGCCAGCAAAGGCCGGGCAGCCTGGCCTGCGGTCCCATCGAGTGGGCTGCTGCGTCCCCAGGGGCTCCCCTGGAGCACTAACTGCTCCGAATTCTAAACAAGGAAATGCCCACCTTCTACCTCCACCCGCTCTGGCCCCGCCCCACTGACCTTATAGAAGGACTGTCTGGCCTCCTGGCCCTACTTCCTCTCCTGAACCCCTCTGGTCACACTGTCACCCCCACAGCCCCCATCAAGGTGACCCGTGTGATCCCTGCATTACTGGAGCGAGACACATGGCCTGCGTCTGCCGCATGCCCCCTCCAAGTGCTCTTCCGGTCTTCCAGGAGGCCGCCCTCGCTGGCCACCTACCCCCACCTGTGGCGGACCCCGCGCGGTGGGAGGCCATGGGGTGCGGGAAGCACCTTGAACTTTGTGCTGAGACGGACCTGGAGGGCACGGGAGGCCCTGGGGAGTGTAACCCTGCCCCGCCCTTCCCACCAGCATCACTCACCCCGTGTGTGTCCCGTCCCCGCAGTGCACTGCTCGCCTGGCCACCACTACAACACGTCCACCCACCGGTGCATCCGCTGCCCTGTCGGGACCTACCAGCCTGAGTTTGGCCAGAACCACTGCTCACCCCTGTCCAGGCACACAAGCACGGACTTCGATGGCTCCACCACGTCGGCACTGCAAAAGTAGGTGCTGCTCTTCCTCACAGGAGGGGCTGGTTGGTCGTGGGCAGGGGGACCTGGTCACCCACCATGGCTGCGGAGAGACCTCTGGACTCCCTGCTCCATTACGCCTGCTCTCGGCACCCGACATCCACCTGGAACCAGTGCAGGGAGGGGCAGCCCACCTAGCCCTGCTCTGCGGGGTGGCACAGCACCCATCATTCCACTGCCCGTCCTCCCCAGCCACAGCGTGAGCTCTGCCCAGGCCAGGCCCTGCTCTAGTTCTGGGTCTGCTGGGGAGCTGACGGCCTGCAGGGTACTGATTGGACCTGCTGGGAGGGGACAGGCTGATAAGGCCAGCACAGAGAGATAGGGTGGGCCAGTGTCAGATAAGGCAGCCCAGCAAGAAGCAGCCACTTGGGCGGGGCTCAGAGAACCTCTAGGCGTGCGACAGGACCTGCCCTCCCACTGGGGCAGCCAGGCAGGGCCCCAGGGAGATGGGCTCAGGGCCTGGCTGGCATCAGGCTGGGTGGAGGCTGGCCAAGGAGGACAGGAACACCTGCCAGCCCTGCCCTGGGCCTCCAGGCTGCTGGGGCCCTGGCCGGCCAGTGCACTCTTCCAGCTGAGCCTGATCAGGCCCTCGGGCCATTGTGCGCCAGACCAGCATGCGGTGGTGAGCTTGGTGACTACACAGGCTACATCGAGTCCCCAACCGGCGACTACCCAGCCAATGCGGTGCGTGTGGCACATTGCGCCCCACCCAAGCGCAGGATCCTCATAGTGGTCCCGAGATCTTCCTGCCATCGAGGATGAGTGCGGCGATGTCCTGGTCATGAGGAAGAGTGGTAA